CTGTCAGTCTATTCTATGTATCTATGCTTCTGTTTCTATTTTTTTGTTAAATTATTTGTTGATTAGATTCCATATATAAGTGAGCTCATATGGTATTTGTCTTTCTCTGACTGGCTTCTTTCACTTAGTATATTAATTTCCAGGTCCATCTATGCTGTCACAAAGGGTAAGAAATCCTTCTTTTTTATAGCTGCATAGTATTCCATGGTGTAAATGCACCATAGCTTTTGTATCTACTCATTTACTGATGGGCACTTGAGCTTTTTCTAGATCTTGGCTATTATAAATAATGCTTCAATGAACATAGGAGTACATGTATTCTTTTGCATCAGTGTTTCAGGTTTCTTTGGGTATATTCCCATAGGTGGAATTGCTGGGTAAAAAGGTAGTCCATTTTTTAATTTTTTAAGGAAACTCTATAGTGTTTTCCACAGTGGCTTTATCAGTCTGCATTCCCACCAATAGTGCACATCCTTGTCAATATTTGTTGTTTGTTGATTGATTAATAACAGTCATTTTGACAGGCATGGGGTGATATCTCATCATGGTTTTAATTGCATTTCTCTGATTAGTGACATTGAGCTGTTTTCATATGTCTATTGGCCATCTGAATGTCCTCTATAGAGAAATGTATTTAGATCCTTTGCCCCTTTTTTAATTGGTTGTTTGTCTTCTTGGTATTAAGTTGTATAAGTTCTTCATTAATTTTTGATATGAATCCCTATCAGATACAAACAAATTTTGTAAAATACCAATAAAATAAAGACCTTCTTGAAAACATTCTCAGGAATAAAGAAATTAAATTGGTGAATAATAATAATCAAATTCAAGAACATAAGAATAGTCTAGGACTTTTGAAAATAACAAAGGAGAATGATCACCAACGTTCCTTTAAGACACTCTACAGACAACACTTCCACCAAAATGCTTTACAACTTTACATCTATTATTCAGGAAATTAAGGAACCTATAGAAAGTCCCCAAGCTGAACTTGGCTCCGAGACAAATCTCCTTAAAGTCAGGAATGGCTTTGTTCAGCGGTTGGGAGCAGCCTGGCAGAAGGATGCTCTCTCACTGGTGCCCCAGTGGATATGAAGGTGCAGCAACTTGAGTCTATCAACCAGGTAGGCTCTCCCAGCAGGTCTTTGGAAGGCACACCTCCATGGCCCCTACACTTAGGGAGGCATAATAGCTCCTTTTAGTCTTACTAAAGATCTATAAAATAAACAGTGAACTAGATTTCTTCTACATGATTTCAAAGTACAGAAGTAGAACAAAGAGATGGATATTAACCTCAATGAAAATATGAAGAATGTGTACTAATTGGAGTTCAAAAATGGAATGAACAGTTTCATAAATAATGAGAAATGTTGTCACAAATTAATCCAGAAGGCCTGTGAACCCCCTTCTCAATCTTGAAGTCTGACACTTAGAAATAAAGGCCGAAAGGAGCTCTGGCCCATGTGGCTTGGTTAGTTGAGTGTCATCCCATACACCAAAAGGTCCCCAGTTCGATTCCCTATCAAGGCACATGCCTAGGTTGTGGGCTTCATCCACAATAAGGGGCCCAGATGAGGCGACCAATTGATGTTTCTCTATCTCTTCCTCTCCTTCTCCTTTCATCTCTCTAAAATCAATAAAAACATTTTAAAAAAAAAACAGCAGAAAGGATAGAAAGAATTCAAACTATTAAGGAATATGATTTGTTCAAATGAGTATAAGAAGACTGGGTTTGGAAGCTTTTATTTTTTCCTTTTGTAATAATGGTACATTTTTCATTTCAGTAGAAAACAGTAAAGAATACAGTATCTTAAAAAGCTATTGACTCTTATTAGTGTGAACTGATTTTTCCCCTGCATTGGGTTAGAATCAAGGACTATAAACCAAACTAAGAACATAGCCTTTCTGAAGCCTAATGTCCTGAAAAACATCAATAATCTTTGTCTCCCTTTTAATTATTTTTTTTAAATCAGTCATATTTATTTGCCTTGTGGACACAGCATATGTCCCAGAGAAAGAATAATTTTATATTTTTAGCCATGTGATAGTTTCTGCTTCCTTTAGGGGATAAAAAGAAAAAGCTTTTATACTCTATCTTTTCTCAGGCCACGGAAAGGGTTAAGTACGTTACAGAAGAGTCCTTAATTTGAGCATTGAAAATCTGGCAACCAGCCCAGAGTCCGTTTCCAAAAAGAAGCAGCTATCCTGGGCCTGTACAAAGGAGGTGGTTGCCCTAGCAACAGTATCTGATAAAAGAAAGCATGGCCGACAGGTACACACACAGATTGTTCCAGAGAGAGGAAAGCCATTCGGCTGCTGCTGCACTCGGTTGAGGAGTCATTTAGCAAATCTCAAGTTTTAAAGCTGAAGCCTCTAATTTCCAATTGCAGAGATTTTCCGTGTGATATGTATTCAGGTCAGAATCTATGTATTTCATAATTTGGCATTTTTGTAGTGATAGCTGAGAATGGGTACGCCTTTTACTTAAACACAGCCACCACAGGTGATTGTTGAGATACATCAGCTAATTCAAAATAGAAAGAGTTGCTCAAATTATGCACTGATTTTTCCCAAGGTTTTGAATTCAATTCTTCAGTATGTCCCAGTTTCCTTTTTTTATCCTTATGCGGAGCTATGACTTTCATATGAAACATTCAGACTGCTCAGAGCCTTCATTATTTTCTTTTACGTGATTATTTGACATTTGTGCTGTCATCTTTTTAATAAAATACTAAACATTTTTTCAGTGTCCTGTGTGTCCTGATTATTTTTAAGTGAATATTTCTTGATGGCATACTTTGTGAAAATAACTCGAGATTTTTATAAGAAGCTCTACAGTATGTATAGACGCTAATGATGCTTGCATGGTTATAAAGACCGAATGCTTTTTTAAATATGTTTTTATTGATTTCAGAGAGGAAAGGAGAGGAAGAGAGAAAAAGAGATATCAATGATGAGAAAGAATCATCGATTGGCCGCCTTCTGCACAAGCCCACAACCGGCATGTGCCCTCGACTGGAATTGAGCCCAGGACCCTTCACAGGCCGTCGCTCCATCCACTGAGCCAAACCAGCCAGGGCAAGAATGGATGCATTTTTTTTCTGAGAAGCTTGAGAAGATTGCTTACTAAAGTATCAGTTTCCCTAAAAGTGCACTTCAGATGGATCTATATATACTTAGCACAATTTCTTCCTGTTGTGTTGAGTTCTTCAGTCATACTGCCATCAGCACCTGAGCTTAGTGAACCAGTTTGTAAAAACATACACTTTTATTCCCCACTACCATCCCTGACTAGCCAATTCCACTTTCAAAAAACTATATGACACAAGGGAAAACATTTAATAATCTTGTAGGACATCCAGGTCCTAATCCTCATGGGTCTTGGGTAATATCCTTAGCCTCGTGAGGTCTTAGAGACAGAATGCACTTTCTGTAAATGACCTCTAAGGTTCTTACCTGTGCTGCCCCATGAAAATGCACCATAACCTGCTGTGAGCACAAAGAAAGGTTCTGTGTGAGCCTGCCATTCGATTTTGATTAGAGCTTCTTTAGTAAGTGCAAGTTTTCTCTGCACAAACACTCCTGATCTTCCTCAGCAAAATACTATCAGCTTTAAAATTGTAGGTAAACAGTTCATTATGAACAAAAGGCTCCAATAGCTATTATTCGGGGATATTTTAATGCCTTCTGATCTGCCAGGTCCTTGGATTGGAGTACAAAATCCCAGGAACAAATCTAAAAGCCTGCAGGAAGAGTGTATTGATTACTTCTTAAAAATGTGGAGTAGCAAAGCATAGAGTAGGACAGAAATCGACATAAGTAGTTTTCTTTGACATAGGAGCAGGCTAGGACAATTTCAAGGTTGTCCATGATTAACTTGAAGGGCTCTCTAATCCAGTGTTTCTAAAATGTGAGCAGAACCTTTCAAAGGAAAAATATATAACCCATATATCCACTGTTGCTTCGCGTTGTTTTGACTATGCTTGTAAATTTTTATAAATATAAAACTAGGTATAAGCATCTTATGCTCAGGGGACTTAGTCAGTTACAGAAACAAATTTACAAATTTAATATGAACTAAATTCCAAAGCTAATAAAATTAAAACTAAATTTATGTTATTAATGTAATGTGGTGAGTCATCTTGATATGCTGAAACTTAAGCTGTTTGAAATTTGAACATTGTACTGACTGCCACAGCATGGTTTCAAAAGTGTTTGTCATGCCTATGCTACTGGGTGCCATCTGTTGCCTCAATTTACTTACCGCTTTTCTCTACCCACACTCACGTGAAACTTTGTGTCATGATTTATGACATCACTTGGCCGTCACAACTGGGAAAGCATGGTGCATGTCCTTAGTAACATCCTATTCTTTTCTTGGTAGTTGCTGACTATCAGAGATGTACCATTCGTGCCATTATGACCTAAACAAAAAAGAATATAGAGGCAGTTCAGTGAAGTCATCTATGTGATCCAACATATGATCATGTGGTCACATGATGCAGCATTCTTTTTTTTCTCTCTGTAGATTATAAAAATAGCAACAGAAAAATCAAGAAATCATTGTTAGAAAATTCACAAAACCCTAATTGGAGAAACAAAATTATGCTTTTCATCATTTCCAAGGTAAGTTTTCTCAAAACCCAATTTCCTCGTGCATTTTCACTATTGATTGAATAACCAAGCAGCATTCTCCTTTCTTTCTCCCTTTCCGGCCTGTTCATAGGATTGAGCAAAGCCAAATTTTGACTTTTACAGACTCCGTCCCAGGTAGGGTGGCAAGAGGATGTTATTTTGGCCAAAGAGACAAACGTGGAGTATGGCTCTGATTGCTGGAGCAGTGATTTGCTTTCCTGATAAAAGTGACAGGTACCAAATGGTAAATTGTTTGTCCTTCTGTTGCTGGAGGAATACACTAGTGGAATCCATCCATTTTTTGTGAGAGTGTGGTTCTTGGGGCATTGCTGAAATCAGAATTTTCAGAAGCTACAAACGGGAGGTGAGAGGTGGTAGAAGGTTTTATTGGCATGGAGTTACATTCCTCAGTTTCCAATGTCCCATTTCCCCCAAGCTCGTCCTAAAAGAGGGGCAGCTGGGAGTTCAGCACAACCAGAAGGAAGGCCAGTGTCTAGAGCTTCCGTTCAATGCAGCGGCTGGGTGTGGTTCAGCATCCAAGCTAATTAAAGTCCATTAGTCCATGTGTGGAGTCCAACTTGGCCATGAGCCATGTGGGCACTGGGGAGCTCATCCCCCTACCACAGGAGAGCCATGAACCCTGGAAATGAGAGGGAGAAAAGAGACAGAGAGAACTCACTTCTTTGTTTGGAAGTTAAAATATTTAGGTTTGGCACACTTGCAGTGCCCGCGCCCATCCTGGCCACAAATTTGTCCCCAGGTATGACTGGCAGACAGGTAGGTACCTTTTCACTTCACTCATCTTACTGGGCATGCATCTACACTGCCTTTGTCTCATTCCTTCCCCTATGGCTCAGCAGGGAACAGACTTGGAGAGTGTTAAATGCAGCTTTTAGGAAAAGCTGTATGTAATAAATGGCATGCCTATATTATCTGGTCTCTCCTTTCAATCCTTCCCGTTAAATAATAACCAGGTTATTACAATGGCACCATGATATTATCTGGTCTCTCCTTTCAATCCTCCCATTAAATAATAACCAGGTTATTACAATGGCACCACATCCTCTTTCCTGTTGTTTCTGCCTTGAACACAGACTTTTTTTTGATTCCTAGAAATATGTCAGACATCTCATGGGAGATTAAGGCCATTAAGTGTGAAAGAGAGGAAAGAGAAGAAGATCCTGGATCTTTGGTGATTTCTAGATTTCTTACTAGGTAAACAATATATGTTTCTACAGTGTAAGCCACTGTTAATCAGAAGTCCTGCTTCTCACATCTGGAAACATTTCTTATATAGAGATCCTATATTATCTTCCACCAGAACTTAGACATTAATTCTGTATTTTTTACATGAAGTACTGTATGCGTGTATACATGCTAAGAGTCTGCAACCCTTTATAACAGTGTGATTTGGCTATAATTCGCTGCTACAGATAAAATTACAGAAAAGATGAAGGCTATTGTTCCTGCTGTTAGGTCTGTATAGCATTCATGGTCCTCTGAAGTGTTTATTTAAATTGTTGTTCTTTGAACCTAAAGTTGAAAGGGCATCTTAGAGAGGTTCTGTCATCTACCTTCCTCATTTTTATAGAACAGAGACATCATGTGACCTTCCTGAAGACCCACAGGCCAAAGGTGACCGAGAAGCAGATAGTGACTGGAGTTAACTTACTTTGAAGAGTGTGGTGTTAGGAGGAACTCGTCTCAGTGGGGATTAATGTTGTTTCTAGCTGACTAAAAGCAGATCACTCAGCTGGCATCTTCTGCAACAACACAGTACATATTTATTAGCAGATCAGCGATGGGTTCCACAGTGTCTACAGACCTTTGTACAAAGCTCTGATAAAACCAGCGAAGCCAAAGAAACTACTGCATCCCTCACACACTTGAATTATGGTCCTTCCACTCTGTGAAAACCCATTTGAAAGAAAATACACAGCACTCTGATAAAGTCCCTTCTTTATATAAAGCATAATTTTAACATAAAGGATGTTTGAGAGATGCAACATCACAAGTGCTTTGGGCAGCTAAAAAAATATAACAGAATTATTAAGGAAATGTCAAAGATAATATCAGAATATAGTGTGGCCTTGCCACATAGACCAGTGGTTTTCAAACAGGCTCTTAAAATCGCTTAAGGGTTTTAAAAATATCAATGTCCAGGTACAAACCCCAAAATTGAATGGGAATATCTTAGATGGTACTTTGCCTGTAATATTTATTTGTTTGTTTATTTGTTTGTTTATTATTAAAGCACTACCTGGGTTTCTAATGTGCTGACAGGTTTGGGAACCACTAACATGAACCAAAGGCTAGCTTATACTTTTAAAAATGCTGCATCCTATCCAGAAAAAAAAAACACATTTTTTCCCATTTACCTTACTTTCTCGGATCTTTACTAAATAATAGGTTTCCTTTATGTCAAATTTCATGAGTTGTTACTTTCAGTCCTTGTCTAGAAGCTCAAGATGAAAGAGAATATATATCAATCCACAATCGTTATTTGACTCAAGAAAAGGAAATTATTACAAACATAAATATTCCAATGGAGGCCATATCACCAGATGCATGAAGAGAAAAATAAACCCAGCCCTCGATTTTTTTTCTGCTCATAGTGTTGGACTCCAATATGACATATAGCCCTTCAAATGGACCTGGTTCAAAGGTGTTGGCATAGTCATCAAGCCAGGCTTGAACTTCTTCTTTTGAAAGTGGTTCTAAACTCAGATTATTTAAGTGGGTATTGGGTTGTGCTTCATGACATCCTCAAACAATACCCAAAGAACACTGCGTCAAATTATGCCCTAACTAAGGTTGCCTCCAACTGGGAGAAGAGGCCAAACCTTTGAATCAAAGGAATAAATCAGCAACGCAGCATGCTGCGATCATAGCCAAAGAATCAGAACACTCTCAAGATAAAAGGCAAAATACCTTCATATCACTGCCAGTACTGTCAGTGCACCAAGAAACACGGAAGGCTGATGGACCTTGGGCATTAGCAGGGCTGACACTAAGCACCTCATCTGTTTAGATAGTGGTGGCTCAAGGCAATTCCCTAACCTGATAATCCTTTTACTGTTTACCAAACTTTACCTTTGATATGCCTGTATGCATTGCTAAAGGGCAAATGTGTATTCAAGTAAATAAATAGCAGACCAGGCCAGAAGTTGGCGTGTCTCTTCAAGAAAGCAGCTCCCCTACCGCCAATGCCTTCTAAAATCATATTTCTTGTATATCATTTTCATTTGTGCATCAGCCCCTCCTTCAGATCCTGAGCCCAGCCTTGCAGGTCGCAGCACTGGGGTATACCAAAAGGTCTTTGAATTATCTGAGAACAAAGAAAGTTTGAGGACATGTTCAGTATGATTTCTTTTGTGTAAAAAATAAGGTTGCTTATAATTTAGATTTAAAACAACAACAATCTGGATGCCAGGAATGCATAGACTTCCAATGTTGTGGAAGGTGCCTGCTGACTTGCATGACAGTAAGCCAGCTGCTCTCCTGGTTGGTGTTGTGCCTCTAGTTAGCATCTTGCAACCTGACTGTAAATACTGTGAAAATCCTCAACAGAGATAAGTAGACACCAGTGAAGAGGAGTGTTTGTTGAGGGCAGGGTGTGTCTTAGGTAAAGCTGTAATACAGCACTCCCCACGAGAGGATCCCTCTGGAAGAAATGTTTCCTACACACCCCTCCACATGGACTTATTGGATATGTCAACAACTAAAAGTCTGCTTTCCAGTAGATAAATAATGAAAATGCAATGTTGGAAGAAATGAGCCAGGATTATCCTGGTGAAGATGTAGCCACACAATCATAACAAAGCAAAATAATTCCAGGAAAGACATTGTTCAAATTGACCTATGTAGCACAGGCAAAAAGCAAAGTAAGAATTGAGATAAATCAAGGTTATAACTAAGGGAGATGAACTCCAACACATATAAAGACTTGGGCAAAAACAGGAAGGCAAGTGGGTAGGGACAGTAATAAGCAGTGTCAGACACTGAGGATTATTCAGGATGAATATGTAGGTGCTGGAAGATTCTATTTGGAAACACTTTACAATATGTCCCTCAACCTCCATGTTCATTATTTTATGGCAGAATTTACCCTACTGAGATCATTGACTATCTTCAGCTGTTCGCCACAAAGCTCAATTCATGAAGGAGAGGGACTGCAAGTTTACCTCTGGGTGCTCAGCATTTAATAGAGTATCCAGCACAGGGGAGACCATGAATTGTTGCTGAAAGCATGTTGAATGAATTAAGACATTAGCATATATTTGGAGCACAAATGAAGCATTTTAATCTAACCTAGATAACTATGGAAGAGAATGACAGAAGCAAAATTAACCTATCTAATAATAGAGAAACATGGTAATTAACTGTAACTTCGCTACCCTTCCCATTGGCTAATCAGCAAGATATCCAAATTAACTGACAACCAAGATGGCGGCCGTCAGCCAGGCAGCTGAAGCGAACAGGAGGCTTGCTTGCTCCAGTAATGGAGGAAGCCAAGGTTCCCCGCCTGCCGCTGCTGGGCTCTGAGCTGCATTCTAAGAAACAATGTTGCAATTATAGAAGCTAAACAATCTCCAGAAACCTGTTTTCAGCCAGCTGGCCTCTTGGCCTTTCGGAGCTGGAGCTGAAACAGTGTTTCAATTATAGAAGCCAAACAAACCCAGTTCCAGTGACAGCCATAGAAGGTAAATAAATCCCAGAATAAAAAAAGAAAAAGAAAAAGAAAAAAGGAGAGGTTGGGAGCTTCAGTCACCCGCTAGCCTGAAAATGGCCCTCAGCCCCTCACCCAGACTGGCCAAGCACCCCAATGAGGACCCTCACCCTGAAGGGGATATGACGAGATGCAAACAGCCATCATCACTTCATCCAGCCTGGCCAGGCAACCAAGCGGGACCCCTACCCTGATCCTTCAGGGCAAACCAGCTGGTCCCCACTTGTGCTTCGGGCCTCTATCCTATATAGTAAAAGGGTAATATGCAAACTGATCTTAACAGCAGAAGGACTGGGAATGACTGGTCACAATGACACACACTGACCACCAGGGGGCAGACGCTCAATGCAGGAGCTCCCCTCTGGTGGTCAGTGTGCTCCCACATGGGGGAGCTCTGCTCAGCCACAAGCCAGGCTGATGGCTGCCAGCACAGCGGTGGTGGTGGGAGCCTCTCCTGCCTCCTCAGCAGCGCTAAGGATGTCCGATTGCAGTTTAGGCCTCTTCCCCGCTGGCTAGTGGACATCCCCTGAGGGCTGCCGGGCTGCCAGAGGGATGTCTGATTGCCATCTTAGGCTCAATCCCCCAGGAAGCGGGCCTAAGCCAGCAGATGGTCATCCCCTGAGGGGTACCAGACTGCGAGAGGGCACAGGCCGGGCTGAGGGGCCCCCCTTCCCCCCGAGTGCACAAATTTTTGTGCACCGGGCCTCTAGTATTTAAATAAAAGTATTTTTAAATATGCAAATAAAATGCCTTCATATAACATTCTTTTCCAAATTTTAAATAATGGTCTTATTCTTTGGAGAAACTTGGAAACATTGAACTGATGCTGGAGATAGGAGGAAAAACAGCAAATTCATCTTGCTTGCAGCAAATTAAAGTATGCATTTTCTTCTTTTGCCAAATCCCCATATTCCAGGAGAATAATATCTTTGTGCTTTTCCTGCATATTTATGATCATCTGGTGAAGTGTTTGTTAATCTTTAACCTAGCTGGGATCAATCACAATAAGCCTTCACACCAAGTAAAATATTTGCACTGCCTTATTGGACACTGAGAACTGTATTTAAAAACTGCCTGTTCATGGTGTGATCACATCTTCAAATGTCCCTGTATCTATCAAAGAACTATTTATTTTAAAATATCAACTCCAACTTTGAAACCTCAAGATGCAGAGTTAAAATTAGTAGAAAATCAGAAATCAGTGTGAATCTAATTGCATTAAGATTTGTTCATGATCAGGTCATGAACCTAATCCCTCCCAAATGTCCCCATAGCCCTGCTATATATATCAGGATGCTATATGCTCTTTTTCAATTGCAAAGAACAACAGATGAGATAGTTACAAAGTAGGCATTCAAAGTTCAATTTTAATTAGTTTATCTAGTTTTTATAGAAAGGTAATAAAAAGAAATCTCACCCTCCCTAGCCGGTTTTGCTCATTGGATAGAGCGTCAGCCTGCGGACTGAGGGGTCCAGGTTTAATTCCAGTCAAGGGCACATGCCTGGGTTGCAGGCTTGATCCTCAGTAGGGGGCATGGAGGAAGCAGCTGATCAACAGTTGTCTCTCATCATTGATGTCTCTACCTCTTGCTCCCTCTCCCTTTTTCAATAACAATCTTTTTTTAAAATGTCAAGGAATTGCCATGTATGATAAAACTATTCTTCTCAGTATCTACAAAAACTTCAGCACTAGAGTGAGTTAGGCAAAGCTTGGAATTGCATTCTACTTGTGAGAAAATCCAAAATAATAGAGTGAGAAGGCTTTCAAGATGCTTACTTTAAATGTTCTAAGATTCAATATGGCTTTTTTCTGGCTAATATTCAATGTTTAGAAAAGACATGTCCTGCTAGTAATATTACAGAAATAGAGTTAGAAAGTTACCCCATAGCATAGTGAAAAGGATGAGCTAGAACTCAATATGAATAACAGCCCCACTATTCTTGACAAGTTATGTAGCCCACTCTCAGTCTACTCAACTGTAAGATGAGATAAACAATGTCTATCTCACTGAATTGACAAGAGGAGTGAAGAAAATGGGATAAACTAAAATTCCTGTTACAAGGAAAGTGCTATAGAAATTTATCTGTTTGGGAGGCCTACTAATTTTTTTTTAATACATGGTAATTTGGATACAAAGGGAAAGCATATGTACAAAGGTGAAGAGAAAAGACAAATATAGTTTATAAAATCAAAGCAAATTGATATGCTGAAATCTGTCACTAGGGGATGAAAAATCTGTATTGATTTCTGATGGCTTGGACATAGTGTGGAGTCAGCCATCACCCCACAATTCTTCCAGCTCTTTGACATTCAGAAAATGATCACTTAGCCACTGAACTGATAGTTTGATGGATCTAATAAAACCTTTATTAAATTGTTATCCTTTCATGTTTCATTGTCTCTGTAAATTGAGGAAAACCCTGATAGAAATCCTAGCTAAAATAATTTGGGAAAATATCATTTTATTCATTGCCTTTGGACTGAATTCAGAGAATCTCTATTTTTGCATATATTGCCTTTGACAAACTTCACTTGAGATTAAAAATATTTTCAATTTTATATTCGTTATCATCAGCATCTCTCCATTAGCTGTGATGTGTCTTTAAGGTTTTGATCTAAATTTTACCAACATTTGGAAAATGTACAGTCTGAATAAACAATTGGCTCAAAGCAATCTGTTAAATTCTGCTAATCCCATCACCCATCATTTTTATCAGGAACTACAGGGAAAAAAAAGTAAAAGAAATTTTCTCATGTTCCTGCCCAGAGGAGTACTAATGGGTTATGAACCCTTTCAGAGTCATAGAGGAGAGAAAGAGAGAGAAAAAATGGTTGCCTTGGTAACAAGGCAGACCAATCAGCTGCATACACACTCTCTCCAGATCATCTATTTTATTCAGTAAATGCAGGCTAGAACAGGTGGCTAACCTAAATGATGTCAAAAAGCTTTAGTTCTCAAACATACACACCCTGTACATTTTCTTATACATAAAGTGTCATTCTTGTCCGTCATAAAGGAAGAGTTCATGGCGCATTCCCGTGTGCAATGTATCATATTAGTAGTCAGAGGAGCTCTCAGTACTTGTCACTTATGAGTTTTCTAACAAAAAGAAAGGCATGTGATTTCAAGACTCCTATCATAAAATTCCATTAGTTGTATTTTAATAAATCAAATATTGCTGTGATTTTTTAATACCGAGAGGGTTTTCCATACATTTCACAATTGCTCACAATAATATAGCATCATAGACATAATTACTGGCCTGGTTAGGTAGCTCAATTGGTTAGCGTGCCATCTGGAAAGAGATACACCAAGGTTGCAAGTTCGAGCCCAGTCAGGGAACATGCAAAAATCAAAAAGTGAATGCATAAATGAGCAGGACAACCAATCAATCTCTATCTCTCTCTCTCTAATTAACAAATTAAAAAAGGAAAAAGCAATTTCATTTCCTTAAGCCCTCTGAAAGCACCTGGGTATTTGTAAATAATTCTGGATTGTAAAGGGGGAAAAAGAGAGAATCATAGTAAGCTAGTTAAAGCTCTATTAATTATAGCATTGAATAACCCCATTTGTTGAATCTGAAGTTATAAAGAAAAACCTGGAAAACTAACATTAAATCATAAACTTTTTCATACTATATAAGGACTTCTGTGGTCTGTGCCAACCTCAACTCCAAACACTTCCAAATACATCCTGACCATCAATCAACAAAACAACAATGAAATCTGCCCTGCGCATATCTGCACTTTTCATTTGCTGTTGTTTGTGTCTTAACATGTCCTTCCGGTGCTGGACTGTCTTCTCAATGCATATCTATCCCTCAAGGCTAAAATCAAACAATTTCCCTCTCCAAAGCCTTGCTCACCTCCCCAGGAAGAATTACAAACATCACACTGTGCTCCCTCTGCAAGTAATTGCATTGTTTGTTTTTTATCTACCTTCCTCATCAGATTGAGTCCTCAGACCATAAAAAGCAAAGACTATGTTTTATTCACTCTTCATCTTCAGGTAGTACCTGACTTATAATATCAAATAATAAATATTTGATAAAAAGATTAATTAATGGTTGAAAGAATGAATGCATGAATGAGTGAAATTGTGCTTTTTTGACACAAAATCTGCACAAACCTACTATATGATAAAACATTTTTTAAATTAAAGTAAAAAAATCTCACTAACTTAGACAAAATCCAATCCAGTGTGTTTGTATGAGTAAAGAACCTGTATATTTTGAAAACTTTTCTGCAAATGAAGTCTTAAATGCAGCTTTTCTTTTAAACCTGAATGTCATTCCATCATCCAGACTGCTATTCCTGCTCATTCCCCTCTCAAAGCATTTCTACCAAAAGCCACAGGCTTCTAAAAGCAGAGCTTGACAGTATGGACTAGAGTTATTATCATTTCAATTTTGCCTTCCTACTTCCCAGTGCATGGTGTTCACATAAGCAAGTGTTTGTTGAAAAATGACATTTAAAATAGGAATCAACATTAGCTGGGAAGTTCAGGTCTCCGCATGTCTCTATTGATCTGCTTTTGAAGTCTTTCAGTTGTTTCCAAAGGTGACCCTTGCTGCCTCAGGATGTTTCCGTGGCAAC